AGAAGCTGTCTATTCTCTTCGAACTACCTTACTGGAAGGTTAGTTAATATCTAAGATGGTTAACCTAATCGAAAATGTTTTGCATAGTTGAACTAATTCTGTTTTATTTTTATGTGATAGTATATGCCGGTGCGTCACAACATCGATGTAATGCATGTGGAGAAGAACGTTTCTGATTTCATTTTATCAATTTTGATGCAAAGTGCAAAATTAAAAGATGGATTGAAGGCACGACAAGACCTGGAAGACATGGGGATTAGAAGCAATTTACACACACAAGTTCGAGGTAAGAAGAAATACTTACCACCAGCTGCCTATTGGCTGTCAAAGGCAAAAAAAAAAAAAAAATTGCAAGAGGTTATCAGAATTCAGAGGTCCTGATGGCTATTGTGCAAATATTGGTAACTGTGTGTCACTTGATCCTCCTACAATTGGTGGCTTGAAGTCTCATGATCACCATGTCCTTTTACAAAACTTGTTGCCAGTTGCCTTGAGAGAAACTCTACCAAGAGGTCCTCGGATTGCAGTGACCAGAATATGCAAATTCTTTAATAAATTGTGTCAGCGTGTAATTGATCCGGAGATGCTTTTAACATTAGAGGCTGAGGTTGTTGAGACATTGTGCAAACTAGAGAGGCACTTTCCTCCATCTATGTTTGATATCATGTTTCACCTTCCTGTACATCTTACAAGAGAGATACGTTTGGGAGGGCCAGTTCATTTCAGATGGATGTATCCCTTTGAAAAGTACTATACTTTGTTGTTTCTATATTTTGATATTTAGATTGGTTTTAAAACAAATTTTAACAATGATGTTATCTGTTTGATATATAGGTACATGAAAACATTAAAGTCTTATGTTAAAAACTATGCTAGGCCAGAAGCTTGTATGGCTGAAGGATATCTAGCTGGAGAATGCATTGCATTTTGTTTGATGTTTCTATAGAATTCTGTCCCTGTTGAAGAAGAAGCCAACCGTAATAAAGATGTTGAGACAGATCCATGCATTCTTGAAGGTCGTCCCCTTCAGAGAGCTACAGAAGTTAGACTCACTGATAAAGAAAGAAAAATACTGCATCGATATGTTCTAATGAACACATCTGTTATGAATCCTTATGTTGAGTAAGTTATTTTGAGTTTCATATCTTCATTTTATGTGTTTTAACTTTATGAATACTAACTTATAGAAATTGGAAACAGTATGCATTTGGATGAATTGCAAAACACGGATATCCGATGCAGAAAGAATGAAACTCATTTATGGAAGATTCATGGGGAAAAGTTCTCACAGTGGGTAAAGGAAATGGTCTGCTCATTGTTTTAGATTCAGATTTAGAGCTTGACTATTATTATTATCTTGTTTTCACTCACTAATGAATATTGACTATTATTATCTTGTTTTCTTGTCATTAGATCTGATAATAGGTTTTTACGATCAATTAATCCTAAAACACTATCGCGTCGTTGTAGTATTATAGGTATCAATCCAAATGGGTGTGATGCAAACAGATGAGATGTGATCAGAAGTCACTAAGTCAAGCCAAGCAATTGCAGGTTTTGGTGTTTCTAACAGTCCTAAGTGATAATGCAAAAAACAGAAAAATTGCAGAATTACAGAAATCACTCGACCACAACTGGCTGATGCCAGGAGCAGGATGTGATCGAGTGACTGGTCGAGTAACAGGCAGAAACTGCAACAAAAGCACTCTACCACACAGTCTGTTGCCAGACACTGGATGTGGTCGAGTGAAATGGTGATAATAGGTGAGAAATGCGAAAACAGGCAATGACAACAATAAATCAATAGCAATGAAAACAGAGAAATCAAATAGATAAGAGATTCCTAAGGATGAAAGTAATCGAATAGCGTGGTCTCCTTAATCTCTTTAGATGGTTGACAAAACTTCAAAGAAGCTATCCCTAGACAACAAGTTCAAAAGCAGATTTATTCACTACCGTGCAACAAATCCTCAAGCAGAGCTAGACACAGACCTAATCACCATTAGCGATCTCTAACTATGCAGGCAATATCGAATCAACTTGTTAAAGCCAATACTCGCTCTAAACGGCCAATCCCTTGGGATAAAGACGAGTATCTAGGGAATTAGTGGATCGGACATTCCATCAAACACCTTTTGGGTGCGGGAATGTCTGGATTCATATTCCAGTTGATCAGAAAGGAACAAGCAATAAGCGCAACTAATCCAGAAGAGATTCAAACAATCTAAACTCAACCATCTAAAAACGACATAGGCAACCACGACTACTCTATCCCATCCCCAGAAATACAGTTCACTACTCAGACATCATGCTCAAAAACGTAATCACGAATAAACAAGAAGATTGCATAAGTAAAGAGATAAAGAGTAGAGAAACAAGGTGATAGACGAAATCAAATGCGAAATCTGAATAACTTGGAAAAATCTCGAATTACAAGATTGCAGACGAAAGCGGCTAAGCGATAGAGTAAACTAGGTTTAACAGAAAATGAAAACTCGAAGCAAAAACTAGATGTCTCGGGATAAAACCCTCGAAAACTTATTTATACAAAACAAAGAGATGGGTCGCAAATCCACTCGATCGGCCCGTGGAGTGATAATGGGCCGAAGCTGGGCCTTGTGATCGAGTGAAACTCCAGACCGCTTCCAAACACTTCTTCTTCTCCTCTTCTCTTCCATATGCTCAGCTTGTCTGGTTAAGTGCGGATTTGAGAAGACTCTGAAGACGTAATCGAGTGAATGGCAGAGTGATGTGGTCGAGTGCTTCAGGAAGATGATGGCTGCTGTCACTCGACCACATGGTCGAGTAGTGTGATCGAGTGACTGATGCGGATGGTGGCTGCTTACACTCGACCACATGGTCGAGTAAGTGCTGCATAAGGCACTCGACCTTATGGTCGAGTATGCTCTGCTGACTCCGGCTCGTTTCTTCCAATTTGATCGCCAACAGCTCCAAATCACCTGAAAACAACTCAGAAATGCAAAATGTATGCAAACCTATCCTAATCATGCAAATTATGCAAGAATGATGAAGAATGATATGAAACAGTTATGAATGTCATGAAACTAGACTTAAAACAATGATGAATGAATGCAGTAAACATGCAAATTATAGACACATCAACTCCCCCAAACTTAGTCTTTGCTTGCCCTCAAGCAAAAAAGAAGACATAGCAGGAAGGAGAGGTTTGAAGTTGGGGACTCAGAACCAAAACATAAGATATAGTAGATAAACTCAATGTCCAAGTTATTAGTTCTAAGATGCGATGCGATTGACTTCGACTCAACATCTTTAGCCATGCTCTGTTATGATGTAAACCTATTCCCGAATGCAATGAGCGTCAAGATTAACCAATCCCTTTAAAATTCATTTAAGTTCAAAAACATGAATCAAGCAATACATCGTTAGTGAACTCATTTGGCTAAGGACAGGTTATGGGACAAAGATGGTCTCTTTAAGGTGGTTAAACTTTCAATAACAGGGGACTCTCAATGAAAAGGGAATGAGCTTTAGGAGAATGCTAAAGGTAAGCGTCAACCTATGCATACAAGAATAGCATCCCATCTACCCAATGACATAAACAGTGAATAACAAGTAGATGGTCCTAACTCTAAACCCATGATTAACCTAAGTCTACCCTTTTGCACTAAAGGCGTATTTCGATTATTTCTCGGATCAACTAATCTTTTCTTTTCTATTGGCTCTGTTCTTAAGGAGAAGTGTTTCTTAAACTCTATGAGTCTAGTCTAGTGAATTGGGTTTTTCTTAAACTCTATGGCTCTTATCATTCATTTTTTTTTTTATGTTTTCGTTGCCATTTTTTAGAGCATAACTTAACAATTCTATGCTTCCCAAACATTCACTAGACCTGAACATAATTTCCAGTTTCTTTCTCCTAAAGAATCTAACCCGTTTCTTTTCTTTTCTTTTTCACACTCAATAGCAATCCCCATATAAGTTCCCACCTAGTCCTACCAAGTCCAAAAACGTGGCCTGGAACTACATGAGATACTACTCTTGTCGGCTCAAACCTAACACGTTCTACCAAGCTCAATCCTGAAATAGGCCTCACATGCACACAAGAAATAACAAGGCTTGAAAGAAAGGTTGGTTAAGGGTATGTGAACTACTCCAATAAAGGAAGCAGCTACTTGGATTAGCAAGAGTGGTGAACAGGTGAAAGAAAATCCAAGTATGTATTCTATCCATGAGTTCAAAAACGATGCAAACATGATAATTATAAGTCAGATTCAAGTTCAAGTTGATAGGGAATGGTTCATGACATGTGATCGAGTGGTTTTAATAGAGCATGGTGCGGTCTTACTTCAAAGTCAATCATATGCATCAGACAACTAATAACGAGGGCATTGAGATCAACATGCTTACAAGGCTATATCCTCATTGTCCCCTATGCATATGCAGCAATCCTAAATGAAACGTTCTAGACTCGATCCTAAATGTAATGCAACTACATGAACACTCTGTTTTTGTGGAATACATTTTCAGAAATTTTTCAAATTTTTATGGTTTTTCTATGCCTTAGATGAATGCAGACTCAAGATTATGTACAATGCAAAAATTTGAAAATAAGAAAAGAAAAGACTCATCAGTTCACACACTTCCTGAGCCCTCCCCCAAACTTAAATCATACAGTCCTCTGTGTGACCAAATTTGGAAGAGAGTACTCAGGACAAAACACATCACAAAAATCAAAAACAAAAACAGGAGATGGTATTGAACAATGGTGAAGTGAGATGCTTACCTCATTGGAAGAAGGAGCGGAGGTGATCATTAATGCCTGCCTGTGATTCCTGCCAGGCCATTGAAGAATCTCCCTGCTCAGTTGCGGCTTCAGCTCCGCGTGGGTACTCGACCTCATTCCTCCTGCTGCGGCCAGCACCGCGGTCGAGTGATCTCCTGGAGCGGATAAGCCGCGCTGTGCTGTTGGAGCGAGAGAGTGCAACCTTCTTTCTCCTCTTGTGTTCTTGAGGCTCATGTGATGAATGCCTCGCAGGGACATGTGAGACTCCCTGCTCACTGGGCTCAGGCCTGCGCTGACTCGGCTCAGGCTCCTGTTTCTTATCCTATTTCTTGCACCACTTCTGCAACTGGCTGTTGTGTCTGTGAGCTTCACTCAGGCTCTTGCTCTCTCTAGATGGCGGCACATGCTCACCAAAGTGATACATGCTCGTATCATACTCCTCATCCCTGTCCACATCCATGTCATCAATCTCATCTTCTGCAGGATCAGGTGCAGGAGCATCTTCTTCCATCGGTTGAGTGAACTCGATATAAAGATCTTCGAACGCAGGCTCGAAGTCGATGTTTTCTCCCCCGAGTATACTCGTAGCTTCAGGGCAAGGAAGAAGAATGTTGGCGGTTTTGCTCAATGGATGCTCGAACCTGTAGCGATAGAACTCACCAACCATGCCATGCTCTAGAAACTCAATGCGGCGCAGATGCTCAAAACCAATAGCCCTCGCGTCTTTCCCTGTAGACGTGATGGGCACTCCAAATGCTATCAGAATTGGTGTCACTACACCACCTACACATAGTGCTCCTCGCACTCTCTTCTTGTTTTTGTTTACCGCCCACTGCTTGTATCCACACAGGTGGACCAGGAGAAGTATCACTGGAGGCGCGTTATTGAGGTCACCTTTCAGAATTGTCCCGTTCTTTGTTTGACGGAGAATACCTGTGAGCGCCGAATCTATCATCTCCATGTCAGTGTTAGGCACCGTGCCTGCAGATTCTCTCGAATAAAGAACATTCGCTACAGAGCGCTGGAAGTAGCGAATCACAGGGCTTAGGATTTGGTTGCTTTTGGACCGCGCAGAGTTCAGAGGTATATTGTTCCCGATAGTAAGCTACAAATCCTTCAACTCCTGTCTCTCAAACTTGGGTTTGGTTCCCTTTCCACTAGGGAAACCAAAAAATCCCTCCAAACGCTGGATTGACAATTGATAGCTCTGCTCTTCCACTGAAAACGTGAAGAACCCCAATCCCTCTCTCTCCAGCTCATCCTCTGTCAGGCTCTGATACAGCTCCACTTGCAGTGTGGAGAGAAAGTGAATCGTTTCCTTCTTGAAGGCAACATACGGGTATGACATGAGAGTCTCCAGGTGACACTTCTCAAACAGGTACTGAACGTCCTCAAGTAGCCCCAGTTTGGCTAACGTCTCAGAACAGGGATATCTCGTCCCCATGAAGTCGTTCAGCTTTAAGAGTCTGATATACTCCTCTGCTGTGAACTCATCAAGCTTGTTCAGTAGCTTTGTCTCTCTGTACTGCTGCTCCGGCACATATTCTCCCTCAGAGTCCTCATCAACCAACTCGTATCTTCCAGTCATCGCTCTTTTTCCTCTAGCGATCTCAGCTCTTCTCTGACTCTGTTCAGCCGCTGAGCGTTCCATTTCAGCTCTGAAACTCTCGTAAGCTTGCTCTTCCCTCTGTGGTCTAGTGGACCAGGATTCAACTTCATTGACGTTGTAGTCCTCATCTACAGATATAGACGGTCCTCCAGTGGCGTTACTCATTGCAAATCCTGAAACGAGATAGAACTCAAAGCTAAACGTTAATACGTTAGTTCCAACGAAGCAAACACCAATTTAGAAATGCAATCACTTTCTGAAAATAACCAGTTTTTGTTTGAAATCAACTAAACTGGTTTGGTATGGTCGAGTGTCGCTTCTCCACTGGTGGCACACAGTGCGGTCGAGTGACCGGTTATGTTTCTCCGGTTTGTTGCGATCAAGTACTTTCTTCCCCGAGTGATTCAGCTTTGTTGTCTTGGTGGTCGAGTGATTTCGCCGGTGAAGCGAAATGATGAATTCGAGTGAAGATGGAGAAGAAGCTGATGTGTCGGTCGAGTAGAGGTGGAATAGAGAGAGAGACGGTGGCGAAAGTGATTAGAAGCTTGCGGTCGAGTGGTCGTCTTCTTCTCCGTGGTCGAGTGAAGCTGTGGAAAGAGTGGTGGCGAGATAAGGGAGGTTGCTTGGTTGAAATCGAGTGGAGGAGATGACGAAATCGGCGGCGCGTCAGAGGGTGAAAGCAAGAAGAGGTCGAGTACTTCTTCTTCTTCTTCTCCGGTGAAACGGTCGAGTTCTTGGCTTTGTGGTCGAGTGGTGGATAGGAAACGAGAGAAGTCGATGGCGAGTTGGTGGTTTAGCGAGAGTTATGGTCGAGTAAGGGAGGGGTCGAGTGCAGTGGAGAAGGCGACGGTGGTCGGTTGCGAGAGTCGTGGTCGAGTGAAGCTTATTGTTCTTTCGGTATGTGATGGTCGAGTGTGTGAGACGAGAGAGATGAGAGATGAGAGACGAGAGTGAAAAGTGAGTGGTAGAGAAGTGAGTGTCGGTGAGAGTGGGATCGGGAAGGAGTGGTGGAGATAGCCTTATCCTTTCAAAAACGTGGGAGGGAGACAAAGGATGTGGTGGTGGGCCACGCGCCTGTTTCCTTGTCTGTAAGCACTTTTTCCTGGAAAAATCCCAGAATCTCCTCAACCTTCTGTAAACTCATCTAAGCCTCTGTAAGTCTCTGTAGCTTCTGTTGGTCGAGTATAATGTTGAATTTTTTGAAATTTTGGGCTCATCGACTCCCATACTCGACCACATTTCTTCACCAGCATGAGACCTTGCGTGATAGAGTGAAATGTTGAAACTTCAGAAATTTTGAGACTGAAACCCCGATTATACTCGATCACAGCTTCTTATCCTCCTTGCAGGGTGTGGTCGAGTGAATTGCATACTTAGAGCCAGAATCCACTTCACTTAGCTCTTTACACTTATCTCCTGAAAACACTAACAAAATGCATCAAAAATAACAAGGAAAAATAAGAATATGTACAGGATAGACATGGGACTTCCTCCCAAGTGAGCTTGTTTTAAGTCTCTAGCTTGACTCCTCACACTTATTACGCAGGGGAAGTATTTTTCTATAAATAGGGGTTCACCCTTTTATCCAGGAGATTCCTTTTACCACTGGTATTTCCGCTGTTCTCTCTAAACCATAGTTTTTGTAATCGTTTTTCCTGCTGAATCCTTGAGTTATCAGAGACCATGTTCCAAAAGATAACCTGCGGACTCATAAGTACTAAGACATCGCGTTAGAACATTCTCACTATAGACTCACCACATTCACAATCCTGGTCCATCCGTCTCAAACCTACAAGGGAACTCTGAAATCACGTTAGTTAACTCTCTATGTTCATTAATAAGGTGGCGTGGACTTTCTCAATCGGAGGCGTCATTCAGGGTAGACGGCGCTTGGTATGAAAGGGGCTTTTTGGTGTTTGGTGGTGGAGTTAAAGTGTTTAGGGTTACCGTATAATCTCGAGAATGCAGGATATGTCGCAAAACCGCAAGAGAGAACGGATCTGTTAAGGTCCACAGTTTCCAACCACTTCTTCTTGTAAACACCTCATCTCCTTACTTCTTTTCGTCTTTTCGATTTCCCCAGACTTAGGCTTTTCTGCGGGGATCTTTGTGAATGATTCCATCTCTCCTCTAGGTGATCCATGTCTTTCCTTGGGATTTCTCTGTACTTATAAGACTTCTTATTTGTAACCGCTTCCTTTCCTTTCGGGTTTTTTGTTTTTTTTTTTTTTTGAAAGGGGAAGCGGTACTCATTATATACACGAGTCTCATAAGAAATAAATACCTTTTAAAATCGAATCCCAAGGAAGAATAAGCTCTAGACCAAATCATCACATCCTCCTGTAGATTCCAAATCTCCGTCTTTGTGGCGGGAAACTGTGTCATTCCTTTCTCCCCGACGTTTTTGCACATAGCTGCTAAAATGAGAAAAGGAAAAAGAGAATGCATGAGGTTTGAAAAGAGGATAGGGTTTTAAGGTAGGAACCACTAAAAGTGAGTGGCCATTCAGGATCAGCAGAGAGTGGTAAAAAGGGATAAGAAGTCCTGAATGTATATGCTCGTTTCCCCGATCTAACACCTCTTCATGAGAAAGAATTAAGTTCAGGTTAAATCGTCCAAATAAAATAGAGTTAACTTCCAATAAAACAAAATCTCCCCGGTAGAGACTTCAGGCGGAAAGATCCCATTGACAGTTTCTAGGTATTGTCCGCTCTTAGCGAGTCCTGCAAAACTTGTCACTTAGGAAATGAGTTAGAACATATGAACGGTCGGTTTCATCATATGACAAGATCATCATTCCCTACTGGTTTGACTGAATAAAACTTTGACTCGATAAAAAGTCTTGATTCCCTAAAATTTCTTGATGTAAAAATGGAAAAAGTTCTCAGGTCAACAAATAAAGAGTAGCATTAGTACGAATCCCCCAGACTTAAATCACACCGTCCTCGGTGGGAAAAATAGTAAGGGAAGAGTAAGAAAAAGAAAGATAGGGTCAAGAACAATGTCACCTTGGTGTGGCGACTAACCGTATATTCTTCTTCAGTACTTACTTGTATTCGATGTAACTTGTGTAAGTTAATCGAAATTGGAGATATAAATCTTTAGATGCATCTTTCCTGATACGAAAACCTAAAACCATCAATAGTTTTATGAAATTTAGACAAAAAGAAAAACTTACCTTGGGTAGGCCGTGAGGCCAATTTCTTTTCCATCAGGGCACCAGTCACAGTTCTAATGACTAGCCGGAAAGAAATATGTGTTGCGGGTCGCGGTTTAGACGCGGGTCGCAGGGTGAGTTGATGCAAATCGCCATCGGTACGATTGCGGATCGTGTTCGGGAGGGGTTGTTGATTGACCGCTGGGCAGCTGCGGTACGGGACGTTTGTTGGGACGGTTGGGACGGCATCTTTACCGATCTGAGGAAAGTAGGGCTTAAGTCGCTGCCCATTTGCGACGAACTCCTTTCCTTGGTTGCTCAAGAGAACAACAGCTCCGTACGGCCTCACTTCCTTGACTCGGAACGGGCCGGACCATCTTGATCTTAACTTACCTGGAAAAAGCTTAAGTCGAGAGTTAAAGAGTAGAACTTGATCATTAGGCGCGAATGACTTCCGAACGATCTTCTTGTCATGGTACGCCTTGGTTCTCTCCTTGTAGATCCGCGAATTCTCGTAGGCATTGTGGCGAATCTCATCGAGCTCGTTTAGTTGGATTAAACGTCGCTCGGCAGCAGTCTTTAGATTGAAGTTCAACTCCTTTACGGCCCATGCGGCCTTGTATTCCAACTCAATGGGAAGATGACAAGCTTTCCCGTAAACACAATGAAAAGGAGTCGTACCTAAAGGTGTCTTGTAGGCGGTTCGGTACGCCCAAAGAGCATCGTCAAGTTTTGTTGCCCAATCACTCGACCTATTGGTGGTCTTTTGCAAGATGGTCTTGATTTCTCGGTTAGAGATTTCAACTTGTCCACTCGTCTGTGGATGATATGGGGAAGATACTTTGTGTACCACTCCATTCTTCTTGAAAAGAGCTTTCATTGTGGCATTAACAAAGTGGCGACCTCCATCGCTTATCACCACTCTCGGTACTCCAAATCGTGGGAATATGATGTTCTTAAACATCTTGACCAGCACGCTCGCATCATTGGTGGTGCTTGGTATAGCCTCCACCCATTTAGAGATAGGGCTCGTCCCAATAGTATCTCTTTACTTCTCGCAAGAACTTCTTTTTTTTTGTAACCAAAGAATTGCGGTGGTACCACATCTGCAGCAAGGTAGTTTGCGTAATACCGGAACCAAGGGGTATCGTAGCTCTTGAATCGTGCTACACGCTGTTGAGGCGGGGCTGGAACTCCTCCGATAGGAACGGTATCGATCACATACACGTTCTCTTCGGGTAGGCTATCGTCTAGAGGTATCGGCTCGTCGATTCTCATACGGGAAAGGTGGTCGGCAACTCCATTGTCAGCTCCTTTCCGGTCCCTTACTTCGATATCAAACTCTTGTAATAAGAAAATCCATCTTATAAGGCGCGGTTTTGCATCCTTCTTAGACATTAGATATCTAATGGCGGATGGTCCGTGTGAACGATCGTCTTTGATCCTACAAGATAAGATCGAAATTTCTCAAAAGCAAAGATAATGGCGAGAAGCTCCTTCTCCGTGGTTGCGTAGTTGCATTGAGCTTCGTCCAAGGTCCTGCTCGCATAGTAAATCACGTTCAGCTTCTTATCTTTTCTTTGCCCGAGAACTGCTCCAACGGCATAGTCACTGGCATCGCACATAATCTCAAAGGACAGCTCCCAATCCAGCGGTTGCACGACGGGGGCTGAGACTAGTGCGTTCTTGATCTTTTGAAAGGCAACAAGACACTCCTCATCGAATTCAAACTCCACGTCTTTACACAGGAGACGTGTAAGCGGCCTTGCATTTTTGGAGAAGTCTTGAATGAATCGTCTGTAGAAGCCGGCATGACCGAGGAAACTCCTTATTCCTCTCACGTTGGTGGGCGGCTGCAAGCTCATCATCACCTCGATCTTTGCCTTATCGACTTCTATTCCTTTCTCCGAGATTCGATGTCCGAGAACTATGCCATCTCTCACCATGAAATGACATTTCTCCCAATTGAGAACCAGATGTTTATCTTCACATCTTTGTAAGACTTTCCCGAGGTTCGCCAAGCAAGCTTCGAACGATGAACCATAGACCGAGAAGTCGTCGATGAAAACCTCCATGAAGTCCTCAATATACTCCGTAAAGATCGACATAATACAACGCTGGAAGGTTGCAGAGGCGTTGCATAGTCCGAACGGCATTTGATCGATGAAGGGTAAAGGAAAGTGGTCCTTTCTAGTCGCGGCACTGAGCTTCCGGTAGTCGATACACATTCGGTGACCTATGATCGTTCTTGTTGCAATAAGCTCGTCATTGTCGGATTTGATGACAGTTACTCCTCCTTTCTTCGGGACGACATGGACAGGGCTTACCCATGTACTATCCGAGATATGGTATATGATTCCGGCTTCCAACAGCTTCATGATCTCCTTCTTCACAAGGTTTAACCTCCTTTGATGCTCGATCGAGTTCTTTGCTCCTTCTTCAAGGTGAATCATGTTCATACAAAGGTCTGGGGATATACCTGGAATGTCTTCAAGAGAATATCCCAATGCCTTCCTATGCTTCCTCAGATCGGAGAGGAGCATAGTGGTCTCCTTGCTATCTAAACCAGAGTTAATGATAACAGGATAAGTACAATTAGGGCCAAGAAAAGCGTACCTTAGCCCAATAGGGAGTTGCTTGAGCTCCACTTTCGGGGCTCTTAGCTCACTCCAAGGATTAGCTACATCGGACGGCGTGTCCTTAGGAGGCGCGGGTTGGCTGCTCTCCTCGTCTAGATCGAGATATGCTACAAGTCTCGTGTAACATTCGGCTGAATCAAGGGTCTCTGCCGAGTTTTCCACGGACTCCATGAGAAAAACATAATCGTCCTTAGCTTCGGTCAAAGCCATCTCCAAAGGATCGTCGAGGATGATTTCTTCACATAGCTCGTTTGTGGCTTCCTCCACTTTATCAACAGAGAAGACTTGATTATGAGATGAGGCCTGCTTTAGCGTCTCATTCATATCAAACTTCATCACAAAATCGCCAAGATGAAGATCGATTTTTCCATTAGGAACATCGATATTGGCTCCTGCGGTAGAGAGGAAAGGGCGACCAAGAATCAATGGATCCTTAGGTTCCTTCTCAACTTCCAACACAATGAAATCTGTCGGGATTTGGCACTCTCCAATAGTGATCGGAATGTCTAGAAGAACTCCGATTGGACGACGTATAGATCGGTCCGCGAGGACTAATGAGATCTTCGTCGGTTTGAAAGAGTGGTGTCCCAAGCATTTAGCGGTCGATAGTGGCATCATGTTGATACTTGATCCCAAATCGCATAGACAATGCTCAAAAACTTCTTCACCAATAGTACATGACAACACAAAACTTCCCGGATCACCTCTTTTCTGTGGACTCCGGTTTTGTAGTATGGCACTACAATCTTGAGTAATCATCATTACTCCGTCTTCAAGGCTGATGTTGTTGGTCAATATACTCTTCATGTACTTCCTGAGAGTAGGAATCATGGCACAAGCTTCAACAAAAGGTAGTCTTACCGTTAATTGCCCGATTAGCTCTTTTAGCTTAGCTCGTTCTCTTTCCTTCTTTGAAGTCTTCGAGGCATTAGGGTAAGGCACCTTAGGTTGATAGACACGTTCAGGTCGTAAGGGAGGAGTAGGTATAACTCCCTCACGATTCAGCGGCTCTTCGGCTACATCTCCTCCGGCGGCAGTGGAGTGACCGGTATGGTCAGAAGGGTCTCCTCCGGTCACGAGCTGTGTGACCGGTCTGGATGGCATCTTCGCGGCTTCTCTTCCATCGGTGACGGGGCTTGTGACCGGTCTGGTGGATAAGGCTGGCTCTGGTTGCTCCTCACCAGTCACGGGTCTCCTACCCGGTCTAGGGTGAGGTAGCGGCTGCTCCTCTTCTTGGTACCTCGGGTCTATGGGCTCCTTGTAGGCAAGGCCACTCCTTAGTGTTATGGCGTTCAAGTGGGCATAGAGAGGCTGCTTGTACTTCCTCATGAAAGGCTCCGTAAACGTTACCACAATGAAAGCGGTCTCCGTGTTTTGTTTGTAGATTCCTTCGACTTTGTCCGAAAGAGTCACCACTTTGTTTTTGATCTCCTCGTACATCTCATGGATCTTATTATTCACACTCTCTGTGAATATTCTCCAAGATAGGGTTTTGATTCTCCGGGATTGGATTGGGAAATCCGCGTTAAAAACCCTGAAAATCAGAAAAAGTAGGTCTTTGTCGAAAGTTACTCTGGTTAGTGTTTCTCCCTCGGTTTCGGAAACTTTGGTTGAACACTCTCCCTTGGTAACCTCTCCTGGCTCCCATGTAATTCACATCCTCCTCTCGACCATAGAAATCGTCATCTTCTTCCGAGGAAGAACTAGTAACTTCTTGTAAACACTTCACCGCGGTGTTCATCATCTCCATGAGCTCATCGAATCTTGAAAGATGGATTGCTTCTTTATCCATGGTCAAGGAGGGGTCGAGAAGGTTGTTGTTATCACTCACGGCCAGGTTGCTAATCAAAGATCGGGCTTCTTCCACCGTCTTCGTCGCAAAGTCTCCAGTACTTGCGGTATCTAGACAAAAACGAAACTTATGGTGAACACCTCTATAGAAAGTATTCATCATATTACCTTCGGTGTATCCGTGGTGAGGACAGTCTCTATCATAGTCTTTGAATCGCTCCCAAGCATCGTAGAATGATTCTTTGGCTCCTTGTTTAAATCCCAAAATTCTGGCCCGAACTAGGTTGGTCCGCGTTTTGGTGTAGAAATGATTAAGGAAGGCAGCCTTGTAATCTTCCCAATTCGTGATTGATGCTTGGGGTAAGGACTTCAACCATTTGCTTGCTTTCTCTCCAAGAGAAAACGAGAAAAGCTTACACTTCCGGTAGTTGTTAGCCTCCTCATCCGAACTGGTGGTATCACATATCTCTTCGAAAAGATCAATATGGGCGATTGGTATCTCTGTAGCAAAACCATGGAATTGGTTTTCTTTCACCAAGTTGATTAGTTGAGGGCTAATCTTGAAAGATTCGTGCTGCGGTCTGGTCGGGTTAATGGCGGACCGAGATTGAAAGTGTAAGTGAGGGGCGTCAAAATCACCAATAAGCGGATCAAGGTAATCCAGCTCATGAGCACCATCATGAACGGCAATGTGCTCTTCATTCTGCCCGGCGGCATTGTTCTCTCCTTCGGGTCCGGCGGCTTCTCGATCGTTCCTCCGCGGTGGTGGATCGTCTAGATGCTCCGGTAAGTGGTTGTGGTCCTCCATTCGGGCTAGTCCCGAGAGTACCTGAAAAGAAAAAGGAAAACTCAAAGTAAAACTGAAAAATAAAAGCAAAAACAAAAATTAAAAACGTCCTAGATGATATCCTAGTCCTAAATTCGTAGGTAACTTAATTAAGTCCCCGACAACGGCGCCAGAAAGCTTGATTCGTGTTTTATTTTGCCTTTCCCTTAGAGACTACACGAAATACTACAAGTGCACAGTTAATCGGATGTAGTATTTAAGGATCGATCCAACAGAGACTTATAAGTACGGTACGAATTCAGTGGAAAGGAATATGTCTAAGACAAACAAAAGAGGGGTGTTTGGATTTTGGGTTGTCACTAAACTAAACAGAAAATAAAAGCTAATTAAACGATGGAAGATATCAATAAGCGAGAAGTTGGGTTTCAGGGATTTCTCAGGGTATCACGGATCGGGTTATTCTAGGGTTTTAAACAAAGGTAAACCTATGCTTTTTAAACAGTTCATGAACTACGAAACACTTATGTAAAACCGTTTAGCTTATGACTAAACGACTATCTAAGTCTAACAACTCCGTTACTAAACTAACGCATGCAACGACGAGATTAAACCAGCATGATTAACGAGTTCGATTATACTTCGTAAAGCCCTATAACTAAGTGTTGTGTGCTTGTTATAACACGATACTCACATCTAGGCTAGTGAACGCGGATCTATACACTATTGATGCATAAAACCACCTAAGATCAATTCCAAGTTAATAACTCAAGCAATATGCATTAAGAACAAACCTAGAACGAAGAACAAGATGACCTAAATATAGATCTAAGAAACCCTAGAATACAGATCCATGAATCCCCTTTGAAATTCTTATACCCAACAAGAGATCTACTCACACATACTCAAAGAACACAACATCATATGAATAAGAGATTGCATAAAAGAGTATGAATATAGAAAAAGGGTTTAGAGATCTTCTCTGGAAATCCAGAGTTTAGGATTCTTCTTCCTTAAACAAGTAGAGAACAGATAAAAGAGATGAAGAGAAAGGTAGGTGATGATCGGCGGCTTCAACGGCGGCGGTGAGTCGAGATCGGAGGAGAGTTCGGTGAGGAGGCTTCTCTGGTCGTCTATGCGAGGCTACTGGTGATAGGGGTCGAAACACACAACCCTAATTAGGGTTTTTAACTTGTATTTATAGGCCTCGGGAAGTAACAAGTCGGTTTAGGGTTTTATCGGCAAAACGACGAGGTTTTGATAAGTGCAGGGACGAGGCATTCTGGACCGGTCATGAGGCTTCATAACTTTTCTCCACAAGAGGCTTCACCCCGGTCACATGGTGTTATGGCCGGTCCAGCCAAGAGCTTCACCACCGGTCGCACGCCTTGCGACCGGTCTCGGACATGTTGACTTCAATCGGCTGTAACTTCTGTTTGGCAGCTGGGATTGAGTTGATTCTTCCTCCATTGTAATCTTGACTCTTCCCGCTTATCATAGAGTCCAAGATCTCCAAATTTACTTCACGGGAAGGCCTCCAACGGATGCCTAACTTCTGGATCTTCGAATCTGTCCTGAAACGGGTTTTGCTCGTCTTTTGGTCCATTTTGGTTAGAAACTCCTAAAACCTTCTTGGCTTCATAAATACTTGATTATCTCCTCTTTAGCCTTGAAATCACTCCACACACTTCCTAAAACATCATAAAACAATAACAAATATTGCTTTCTGTTTCATATCTTAAATGCTTGTAGTCACACTTAGATTGGATTGATAAACCTAATATACTACAATGGCATGTGTATTAGGAATTGATACTTGAATTGAGTAAAATCCTACTATCACTGAGCTACAACCTTATCCCACCATACCTGAGCTTCATCCTTTAGGTACTGAACTGCTAACTCCTTACGGTACTCTTGCGGACACTGAACATTGTCAAGATTCCTTTCCTATTTTTTTCTCCAGTTATCAGCAGAAACGGGATCATATTTCCCATCAAAGAACTCCATACTCACGTCCTTGAGATATCTGATAGCATCCAAGTACGTCGTTCCTTACCCATGGACATGCATAGGATTAGCCTGCATAGGATGTGGCGGTGGCGGTGACGGTGGCTGGTGCTGAGGCGGTTCTACCATTTTAGGTCCGCCCCGCTATGGAGCATTCACCTCTGGTGCTTCTCTCATAGCTGGTGATAATATATTTTTAGGTATCAATTTTCCTAAAGCACTATCATGTCGTTGTAGTATTTTAGTTTGTCAATCCACTTTAGGTGTGATGCAAACAGATGAGATTTTATCCGAAGTCACTAAGTCAAGCCAAGCAAATACAGATTTTGGGTTTGTAACAGTTCTAAGTGATCATGCAGAAAACAGAAAGATTGTAGAATTACAGATCGAGCATCTGATGGGCTGAAATGGGCGTCCCTGTGATCGAGTATGTCATTGATCAAACTGGGCTTCAGGAACTCCGCCTTGCGATCGAGTGGTCTGGAGTGAAGACGAGATGGAATGGTCCAGCGACCCTGCGATCGAGTGGTGCGATCGAGTAGATGTCATGAGGTGGTGATCGAGTGGTTTCATCAGCTTCTCTTCTCTTCCGTATTCTCAGCTTGTCTGGTTGAGTGAAGAATGAGTAGATGGGCTTCCTGGTGACCACTGGTGATCGAGTGGTATAGAGTGGGTAATTCCTCCGGCTTCGCGATTGAGTGAAACTGATGATGATATCTCTGGCTCTGCGATAAAGTGGTTTGGTGATGATATCTCCGGCTCTGCGATAGAGTGGTGATCGTGTGATTTTGCCCTTTTGGGGTTTTGAGGTTGCGATCGAGTGCTTTTGCTGAAGGCATGATTGAGCGTTCTGACTTTCTGTTCCGTTTCTGCTCTGTTTGAACTCCAAAAGCATCCAAAGTAATTGAAAACAACCAAATATGCAATGCACATGCAATCCTAATGCAAAACCGTCCTAAGTATGTAAAACACACTAAAACTACTACTGATGAGATGAAATGTGGATGAAACGATGACAAAGTAATGAAGAATGAATGCTTAAATCATGCAAATTATAGACATATCAACTCCCCCAAACTTAGTCTTTGCTTGCCCTCAAGCAAACAAGAAGACATAAGCGGAAGGAGAGGTTTGAAGTTGGGGACTCAGAACCAAAGCATGTGATAAAGTAATTAAGCTCAATGTCCAAGTTAATAGTTCTAAGATGCGAGGTGATCGACTTCTACTTAAAAACTTTAGCCATGCTCTGTTATGATCCAAACCTACACTCGATTGCATAATGCGTCAAGATCAACCAATCCCTTTAACATTCATTAAGTTCAAAAACTTGAATCAAGCTATGCATCGTTAGTGAACTCATTTGGCTAAGGACGGGTTAAGTTATGAGACAAGAAGGTCCCTTTAAGGTGGTTCAGATATTAATAACAGGGGACTCTCAATGAAAATGGACTGAGCTTTAAAAGAATGCTAAAGGTAAGTGCCAACCTATGCATACAAGAATAGCACCCCATCTACCCAATGACATAAACCGTGAATAACAAGTAGATGGTCCTATTTCTAAACTCATTGATGATCCTAAGTCTACCCTTTTGCACTAAAGGCATATTTCGATTCTTTCTTGGATCAAGTTATCCTTTCTTTTCTTTGGCTCTTGTTCTTAAGGAGAAGTTTTTCTTGTACTCTATGAGTCTAGTCTAGTGAATTGGGCTTTTTCTTAAACTCTTATGGCTCTTATAATCTTTTATGTTTTTGTTGCCATCTTTTTTTAGAGCATAACTTAACAATTCTATGCTTCCCAAACATTCACTAGACCTGAATATGATTTTCAGCTTCCTTCTCCTAGAGACTCTAACCCATTTTTTTTTTTTTTCACACTCAATCTGAATCCCCAAATAAGTTCCCACCTAGTCCTACCAAGTCCGAAAACGCGGATTGGAACTACATGAGATACTACTCTTGTCGGCTCAAACCTAACACGTTCTACCAAGCTCAATCCCGAAATAGGCCTCACATGCACACAAGAAATAACAAGGCTTGAAAGAAAAGTTGGTTAAGGGTGTGGGAACTACTCCGATAAAGGAAACAACTACTTGGATTAACAAGAGTGGTGAATAGGTGAAAGAAAATTCAAGTATATATTCTATCCATGAGTTCCAAACCGATGCAAACATAATAATTACAAATCAGATTCAAGTTCAAGTTGATAGGGAATGGTATCATGACATGCGATCGAGTGGTTTTAATAGAACATGGTGCGGTCTTACTTCAAAGTCAATCATATGCATCAGACAACTAATAACGAGGGCATTGAGTTTATCTAGTAAATCAACATGCTTACAAGGATATCTCCTCATTGTCCCCTATGCATATGCAACAATCCTAAATGAAATTACAAGAAAAACTGTCCAAAGCCACAAAATAGTCACAAAAAGTTTGTAGCTAGTTTATTTTAGCCACAAATCAGACACAAAACTATGTCGTGGCCAGT